CTCCCCTCTACCACCCCATCACCGTTCCCTCCCTCCCTTCCGGTACGTGCCCACCGCGAGCCGCCCTCTGTTAACACTTTAATTTCCTGCCTGGTTCTCTTGTGTGTGTGTGTGTATGTATGTGTGAGCACAATAGTTATTAAAACCACTAGAAATATTCCGCACACAGTATGTTATCTAGCTAGGTATACTGAACGACTATACTGTAGGTGGTGGAGACACTGAGGTAAGGAGTCAACACTCATGTCCTCAGTAACATGTAGAATGTCACGAGTTATCTCCCCTAGACTGTTGTGTCATACATGTTGAGAGTGTCACGAGTTATCTCCCCTAGACTGTTGTGTCATACATGTTGAGAGTGTCACGAGTTATCTCCCCCAGACTGTTGTGTCATACATGTTGAGAGTGTCACGAGTTATCTCCCCTAGACTGTTGTGTCATACATGTTGAGAGTGTCACGAGTTATCTCCCCCAGACTGTTGTGTCATACATGTTGAGAGTGTCACGAGTGACTGTTGTGTCATACACACGAGTTATCAGACTGTTGTGTCATACATGTTGAGAGTGTCACGAGTTATCTCCCCTAGACTGTTGTGTCATACATGTTGAGAGTGTCACGAGTTATCTCCCAGACTGTTGTGTCATACATGTTGAGAGTGTCACGAGTTATAGACTGTTGTGTCATATATGTCACGAGTTATAGACTATATATATATATATATATATATATATATATATATATATATATATATATATATATATATATATATATATATATATATATATATATATATATATATATATATATATATATATATATATATAAATCAAGAGTTCACAACTGTTGCTATAAGGAAGTTAGCTCTGGTAGATTTTTGTACTGCCAGCTTCTTTAATATGAGGCTGTGACCTTTAGTAGGACGGCCAACTGTTCCCTCTACATACTGTTTATGGATTTGACTGAGTAATGTCTCCACTGTATAGTGTGCAACGTTGACGATGTGTGAAGTTCACACATATTAGTATAAAGAATACTTTACTCATTAAGTATGTGCTACTAAACTAATCTATAATCTACATACAGTAGGTGTTGAGGCTCAAAGGTTTAAAAAGTTTATAGTAGTCACCACAGAGGTAAAAATGTTCGAGTAAATAGAAACGTAAATTTTGTCTCTTTCAAAGAAAATGTTAACATTTTTAGGTATAACCACGTCTTTATTCAAGACATCATCAGAGCCAACTGAATTTACAGACCCTGTAAATTCAGTTGGCTCTGAAGATGTCTTCAATAAAGACGAAAGCTAAGGTGCTCCATTGTTTCCCTTTTTCCTGTGTGATTTTATCGAGATTTATTCGATCCACGTTTCCAGTGTGGTTCTACATGAAATAACCATGTCTTGTTTACTCCCACCGTTGTTCCTCATGAGGTTTAGTTCTCCTTTGGGTAATACGATTTGCAGATTATAAATTATTCTGTTGGACTGGGAGTGTTGGTGGTAGTGTACAGCTGTAACTTAAGCCTCTCTTACGGTTGTGTCCTGGGTTCAGCTCCTCGCCCGGGTGTCACGTACAAATCTTTTATTCTTTTATCCTCTTCACCACTGATCGGCTCGTTAGCCGCTTGGGCAATCGGTCACGTCTCTGCCACGCACTGTTGGCAAGTACTGGGCATCCACCGGCTCCTGAATGTACCTGAACCCGCTCCAGTGTTGGTCAAGTCTTGTCTTGAAAGAGCTCACACTCGGTGCCGTCACAACACTCTCTGGTAGATTGTTCCAAGAGTTTACAACCATCACTCCGAAAAAGTTTGCCCTCACGGTTTTCTGGACTTGCGGCTTCTTCAATCTTGAGCTGTGACCCCTTGTGGGGCTAGCGTCCGCCAGCTCCAAGTAAGGACACTCGACTGAGTAGTGCCCCTTGAGATGCTTATACACCTCAATTACGTCACCCCTTGCCCGTTTGTAGTATAAGCTAGGCAAGTTCAGGCGCTCCAATCTCTCAGGGTAGCTTAGGTGCCGAAGTGCAGGCACCAGTCTGGTGGCCCTCCTTTGAACATTTTCAACCAACTGACAGTCCCTAGCATATCTCGGGGACCAGACGGGGTGACAGTACTCCAGATGGGGTAGCATTTCACTCTTGAAGATCGTTACGAGGGACGGACCGTCTAGATATCTGAACTACCTTCTTATAAGACCCAATTATTTATTTGCCTGATTTACCTTTTTCTCGCAATGGCCCGAGAACTTCAGCTCATTGTCAGCATACACACCTAGGTCCTTCTCACATTCAGTCTCAAATAGCGCAGTTTCTTCATCCCGTTGGGACATATGATACGCTTCCTTACCATTGGTACGCCCCAGGTGCATCCTCTTACACTTCGCGACATTGAATCTCAGCAGCCATTTCTTCGACCATTCTTGGAGCCCACGGAGGTCCTTCTGCAGCTCTTCACAGTCCGCTTGGTTCTTTATTTCCCGTGACACTATCAACATGTATGACACAACAGTCTAGGGGAGATATCTCGTGACTCTCAACATGTATGACACAACAGTCTGGGGGAGGTAACTCGTGACTCTCAACATGTATGACACAACAGTCTGGGGGAGGTAACTCGTGACACTCTCAACATGTATGACACAACAGTCTGGGGGAGGTAACTCGTGACACTCTCAACATGTATGACACCACAGTCTGGGGGAGATAACTCGTGACTCTCAACATGTATGACACAACAGTCTGGGGGAGGTAACTCGTGACACTCTCAACATGTATGACACAACAGTCTGGGGGAGGTAACTCGTGACACTCTCAACATGTATGACACCACAGGCCCTCTATATAATTTGTGTAATGAAACCATTTGTAAATAAAAGCAGCCATACACGAGAACACTAACTTTATTCATCACAACTGATAAATCAGCTCACAACATTTTATGCGTAAATCAATTGGTAAAATTATTAAACTCCACACATATAGATAATGATAATCTGAGCACTATATAACATGGCCAGGGGTGAATTATATAAACCGAAGTACAGCAACGAACAAGTCAGTGCAAAATAATTTGTCTCAAATAATCAACAACACATTAATAATAACTAAATGCTGATAATGTTTCTCAAGACAGTGACATACAGAGAAAAATTAGAAAATATTCCTTCCATTAGTAACTTAAATTCGTATACATATTATGTCCTTGTGATAATCAACTCAATATAATTGAATTTTCCTGCTTTTTAAAGCAAACGTATGAAGATATTCTGTGTGAAATCTGCCAAACATACAAGTACATATGGTTTAAGCACACGTGACAGTTGAGACGAATTGTTCACATACTGCAGTGCTTGCACCACATGTCAGGGCAGCTGCATAGAGCTTGTGTATGTGAGTGAATCCATTTTGGAAAAGATACAAAACCATTGTAAATATCACCAAAGTTTCTTGTGAACTGTGCAATCAAATTCTTCTTCAAGAAGTCGTTTAGCAACATGACATTCACTTACGAGAAGAGACGACTCCTTGTCAACACCTATGAGTTAATGGGGCAAGATTTTCTGGAAGTAAGAAACGTTCCTTGGATTCTAGTTAGGTTGGAAATTACTGCAAGCACTACACACTACTATGATCACCAAACTCAGCATTCAGTTCACTAAGGCAGTTATCTAAAATATCGTAGTACAGTTAACGATGCAAAGCTTCACTATCAAAATCTTGACCATTAGAATGTCCTCCAGTTGTCCCCCACCCCGGTGGCGATGGTCATGGTATTAACACTAAGAAGAGCTAACATTATTACGACACACTGATTGGGGTAAAATGTAAAGTTGTCCTCGGCACTGTTGGCTTCACACACACATATAGTCATCGTTATCCTCTTTGCAATTCCAGTAGGAGTAAACAAACTAGATCTGCTGTGTGAAGAGTCACCTTCCGTCCACAGTTACGACAGAAAATAAAGGTCTTCCTTAATTCCCTGACATACTGACATAATCGTTACAGTCATGCAGGTGTTCCGTTCCGCCCTGTGCTATGTTCCGTTCCCGTGTCCTGGCCAGATCGTACTTGACAGACATAATCCAGGTTTTCCGTGGGATTGGTGACATTCACACTACACATAGGTGTTGGTGACGTCCTTGACAGAAATTTAGACGTCACCCAATGTTGCTAACGAGTTGTTCTTTATAATAATTCAAGTCACCCAAAGTGGCCTTGTCCGAGGCAGTTCAGTGTTATCATAGAATAAGAATCCAGTAACTATTTTATGAATATACTAAATCTTAAGGAATTTCAACCCGTGCAATGTTACAGTGTGAGAAAAATGATTACTATATCAGTACTTGTGGGTCGTGAAACACTCTGTTAAATGTAACCAATCAGAGTTAGACGCTTCTATTACTGACAAGGTTATGGCCACCACCCTCTATGGTTTAAGACTCGCGGGATAAAAGCTCCTTGGAAGAACAGTGTCAAGAACAAGTTGATTTACGTTAACCTAACCTGAGGGGATAAAGATTTTCCTTGACACTCTTCCTTACAATGAAAATCTTTAGCCAATTTTTTTTCTAGTTACCGCAGACGATAGAGTCGCCACAGACACTGTAGCTGGACCTCCCTTAGCTTTCTTTCATCACAGACTGACAGACTATCCCCGCTCGCTTGTGTTTGTCTCTGTTGTGCATTTCTGTCCATTAGGATTGTTTACTAAGCTCCAGGTAGTACCACCATCAAACGTCGATGCTCTATACACACACACACACACACACACACACGCAAGAACCCAGTAAACGAGTTGAATGGAATGCTCTCAGTGTTTGACGGATTATATGGTTGTGTGTGTGTGTGTGTGTGTGTGTGTGTGTGTGTGTGTGTGTGTGTGTGTGTGTGTGTGTGTGTGTGTGTGTGTGTGTGTGTGTGTGTGTGTGTGTGTGTGTGTGTGCGTGTGTGTGTGTCTGTGTGTGTCTGTGTGTGTGTGTGTGTGTGTGTGTGTGTGTGTGTGTGTGTGTGTGTACGACAGGCCCGACACCCTTCCTGAGGGCGAGGCTCAGTTGAGAGTTACATTGGACTGACAGAGCACCCAACACTCCCCCCAGTTTTGATCGTGGAAGGTGTCTCCTTGGAGTGTGTGATAAGCAGCGGTCCAGTCGCTGAAGTAATTGAAGGGGCTGACGTAATTGAAGGGGCTCAAGGATTCAGTGCTGGAGTAGGGCGTCCCATCTCCCCAGGTGAGGATGTTGTTCACCTTCTTGAGGTCCACGCATATCCTCTCGTTCCCTGCAGAATTACCAGAGCTTCAATTGTAAAGCTTTGAGAAAAACGGGAAGAGGGAACGGGGGGAGAAGCAGGGAGGGAAGGAGCGGCAGAGATGGCAGGGGAGGGAGGGAGGGATGGAAGGAGGGAAGGAGGGACAGAGAGGGAGGGAGAGGCAGGGAATTTATGCAGGATGGGTCGCTGCAGTCGTGGGGAACGATGATCAAACTCGGAAAGAGAGATGATGGAAACAACACGAGATGAAGAAAATGGTAGTACATAGAAACCATTAGGTGATACATTAACACACAGATATGTATACAAAAGTTTACAGTGTGTGTGTGTGTGTGTGTGTGTGTGTGTGTCTAAACACAAACATACGAACAATTACTAGTATATAAAAACGTAAACTACTTACAGGGGATTTGGTCGTTGTATTTCTTGAGGTCTTGGTAAGACTCACTGGTGGTGTACACGCCCAGGCGGGCACCAGGGATGCTCTCACAAGCTGCTGCTGCATTGAAAATCTTTGACTGAGAAAGAGCCAAGTAGAGCAGGCCGTCGCTGCCTACCCACGTCTTCCCATTGACGGACTCTGAAGCAGCAATGGTCGTGGCTATGACAGTAACATTAATATCATCAATACGATTTTGTAGTTTTAGTAGGAATGGATTTTGACTTTCTGTGTTATAGACAATGGAAGTCTGGTTCTTATACATTTTTACTGTTGGTAAACTTTGGAAAGATAATTATGCCTCTACAGCATTAACCCCTTCACTATGGAGACACCACTTATAATATTTATTTAGTTAACGCCAGATAATTTTATTCAGCACAGAGGGGATCCCGTACACAAGTGGTCAGCAGACACTCTCCCCTAACCTCCAAGAACGTGCTCTTGTGATAGTGGTTAACTTGGAGAATAATAAACTCGGTGATAGAAGCGGTATTTGAAGGCAATTAACTTTGAGCTCTTTTCCAACCATTCTATAAAAATCATCCATGAATCCCAACCTTTTGCGTCCGAATGATCTCAGACCTATACTTTTCCAAAGTGCATGAGTGTAACCCTGAGAAAATGAAAGGTTGTATTACTGGGGCACTTAGGATTTGGTTATTAACTTGTAACATTCCCCCTCATAACGAAGGGGTCTCCCTGGTAGACACAGATGCCTGTCAGTTTGGTGTTGGGCCACATGGGTCAAGGTTTTCTACCTCGTCGTTTGACCAGGATTCGTGAGACCCCGATGGGCGTGATTGTGAGAGAATTATGACCAACAGAACTCACCCAACCAATAGACGTAGCGGGCGTCTTCGTCAGAGACGACCACGGTTTTTGAAGGACCGGTTGTTGATAAGCGACACTCACCTCCTGCGGCCTGTCGGGAATAAAGAGCTGGACAATAATGCATCTCAACAACTGCTGAAGACTTGTTTTGGTGTTGTCAGTGTCTCAAGACTCTCCCACGCCTCACCAGCACTCATTTGGTCGGCTTGTGAACTTCAGCAAGTCTCTATCACATCCCATTGCCTTACTCCAACAATTCTTTCAGTTATCCTCCAACTTTTCCCCAACCTTCCTCTTGATAATATTTTTGCACTCCTAACTTCTCCATCACTTCAACAATCTTCCAAGACTCTCCTTCAACACTTTAACACCTCAGCATTTTTTCGGAACTATTTTTATCATCATCAAAGACAAGTGCCACATCCTGTCGTATATGTAACATTAAAACAACCAATAAATATGACAAAAGTTGCTTCAGAAGACTTACCAGAGTTTGAAATGACGCCGAGTCACAGAGATTGGTGGTCCAACACGCAGTGACACAATTACCTGTTAAAATTGGTCGAATTTAACACAACCCAAATGTGTTCATTAAAAAATAATAGACTTGAAGTAAACAATTCATCAGAACATGGCTGTGTGCTGAAGTTAACCCGCGTTTAGATTCTTACGTTTTAAAGCAGATGTTCTGCAATGTACGGTTAGCTTTTTAATGCATAGATATTAGGGTGCAAGGAGGTGGTGGACGGAATGATACAGGGACGATGATGGTTGGACACATACAGGGACGATGATGGTTGGACACATACAGGGACGATGATGGTTGGACACATACAGGGACGATGATGGTTGGACACATACAGGGACGATGATGGTTGGAAAGACAGCCGGACTCACAGAGGGAGGGGAGAGACACAGTGTATAGGGTGGAGGAGTCATCGACCTTCGTGTTCATCACCACCATGAAGTCACCATATATCTCACTCTGCACCATCTGGGAAGCCGCATCCATCATGACCCGGGAGTGTGGCGGCCTCACCCCCACCAGGAGGAGGACCACTACCATCATCCACGAGCCTGTAATGGGAGAGAGAAGTAGTGTCAGGTCTCTCAAGCCAGTGGTATTACATTATCGTCAAATAGGTCGGTTTTTGTTGGATTTTGTGATAACTCGGTTATAACTTGATGGGTTTGAGACACACACACACACACACACACACACACACACACACACACACACACACACACACTACGACTACTACTAATTTAAAATTAAATATCCTAATACATAAGTAGCTATCCTAGCTGTGTTGAATTACTTGAGCCGCAGATTTATGCGGCATTCAGTGACTGTTGCCTCATAATCAATATCTGCAACTGTTGTCGGCTTTGGGGCCGATGCTTTCGTTCCCCTGAGGCAGAGCAAAGCAGACCTCAGGAGACAGAACAGTCGACATCTCATCCAGGCTGTAACATAACTTCTGGGCTGCTGCTTCTGTTCGGATAACACCTCCGCGAGCCTTGCGTAGAAGCATCTTGCACTTGGTCCCATCCCACCAGAGGTTGTGAACACTAGAGGAGTGAAGCTGCCTTGATCAACGTTCTGAATTCTCTCCCCGTATGCCCTTATCTTGTCGTTCTCGTTCCTCCTGTGTGCAGCATCGAGAGCTAAGTTACGGTGACATGCGTCCATGGGATCAAAAATCCTGATGTCGATGAAGGCTCGCTGTCCCCGCGTCCAGAATCCTCGAGCACTGACGTCAGCACTGGCTTCGTTGGGTGTGTTTGAAGTCCTACGTTGGAAAATCTCACCGTCCAATGGAAGGAGGGTCGGTTCTATCCTGACATCACGGCAGATTTCCTTCAACATATTTGCTGTGAGATCCCTTACTTCCTCATGCATATGAAGCCCCCTTTCTTGCACACCATAGCGTGATCGACGTCTTAGGAAGAGCCGCACACGCATTGGGAGGACAAACCTTCTTCTGGCCTACCGAGCAATGGCATCTGTAAATTCTTGTTTATTGAGACTGAAACCATTTGCCCTTATCGGTAATGTAGTTAACCAGTTCGAGCATATAATGACTTATTATTGGGCAAATCTGTACACATAAGGTGTCTATTAGTATGTTTTCCTCTTTTCATAAAAATAAGTGTAAGAGATTCTTAGTTAAACAATGAGAACCATGTTTATATCTTTTTCATATCCTTGGGAGATATTGTTTCAAGAATTCTTTCATATTTACAGCCGCTGGCATCTGCGCCACACAGATCTGTGCAAGTGAGACCAGAGCGGACACATTTACATCTCTGTCCACAGTCTGTCTTGCAGGAACACTTGGCTGTTCCCTGCTATTGTTGGAAGGTCTGTCCAGTGTATTTGTCATATATCTTCTTTCTTTTTCCAGCCCCAGTTAGCAGGACTTGGAATGTCTGGTTAGGTTACTGTTGCCTGAACCCAAATCATTCCGCCTATCAACACACTTTACATGTTCCTTAAGGGCAGACCGTGTTGGTGGAATTGCATTATATGATCTCTGTTTGCGAGCAGATAAATCAAGTCTTGCATCATTGACACATAAAGCTGGATTAGACCTGTCATACAACACCACCACAAACCTTTCCAAGAACACGGAGGTCTTCTTCACTAACTGATGTAGGACACTGACTGTGTTTGGTGAAGGTACTGGAGACCTCCTTAAACACATTCCATGTTTACCATGCAGTCTTTTAACTTTTACCACGGAAGGCTGACACAACATCACAACCACTGAATGTATGGAAAATTATGATTCCAGTGGCTTTTTCAGGCCCTATGGCTCAACAACTAACTCATGAACAGGAATCCATCTTGCATAAGCCCTTTGACCAAAAGAAATCCACATTTCTTCAAGACCAATTTCTCCTAGTGATGTGAACACCATTACAGCTATGACAGTGATAGCTGTGTCATTGGCTTTTATGAGAACTCCTTTACTGCCTTCCAATACAGCTTGTCTTGCATGTACAAAGAGGCGAGTATCTGCCTCAGGCGTGACAAGAAGTTGTTACAATTTCATATTTTCACGATTTTATCCTTGATACATGATTTAGTATTCCTTGGCAATAGATATGTTAACAAAAGAAAAAGCTAAACAACAAATACACACATTCCTAATGCCGCATATATCACATATTTAGATAGCCTCATTCCTTATGTCGCATATCATATATGCGACATGAATGAGGCTATCTGAATATGTGATATTACCACATATTCTAATAGCAGATGAAACCAGCATGGGAAGGCGTCCCTTGGCCGATGCATCGCTTGATCGTCGTGGCAGGAAAATTCGGCCAATAATTTATTCTTAATGAAAAATGACGTCATCCACAGGCCACGTCCATACGATGTGATAAATACCCCGTACAGACCCAGGACCGGCAGTCACTCCCTCCTCCCTAAATTCAAAACCCATACAGTATTCGGCTGACTGGTCATCTCTTTACTACGTCTCCGCTGGGTCTAACTACGAGTCCTTCGTGTGTCCAACCTACATATCGGCTCATCATAGTCCTTCCCTTTACCTCTTAGGGGTCTTGTACAAGCCTTAGTTATACTAGTGTGAAAAGGTGATTTCTAAGAACTCCCCTACCTACTGTGAAACGTCGACCAATCAGTGATAAGACAAACTTACTTTACTTACTGTCATTAACTTGAGTAATTATATGACGAGGGAATCTTAGTTCTGACCTGTGTTTAGGTCTCATTATAATTATTATTTGTATGCAAATAATTATTTTTAAGTAAAATAAGAAAACCGTCACTTCGTTTTACCTACTTTCTGCCTTACTTAATCGATTACTGTTTAATTAATTACTACTTGAGTACACTTTACCTTGTCTACAGGGATGTAACCTCTGGTTGACATCTTGCTGAATTACCAACTGATCATTAAGTGCTGTAACAAATTACTATACTGTTCAGTTGAGGTTTTAATAATTCTTAACACTTAGTACACACTGAGGTCAAATATTGCCTGTGAAGAAAAATGTTTATAAGTACTAATGTGTCCAGGTTTCAGTTCAAAGAGTACCTGTGATATCATCCGGACAAGTAAGAAAAAAAATGAGTAACCAATGATTAACCCTCTTTCGCGTGTCACCTGTGAACAGAGCCGTGGGACAGGGAGGATGATGTACAGTGCAGCTGCATTTAATAGCATAAATAAACAGCACTTTCGGGAATGCTGGAATCTCTGGAAATTAATAATGGATGACATTTTTATGGTGAAACCTCACGTAGACCAGGAAGGCTCCAGCGTTTTATCGTGTTGCAACATTCACTTATTATTACCCTTTCCTTATGTGTCTCCTTTCCTCTTTTTCTAGTTTTTCTTTTTGTGTCACTTTTATTCCGTCTCTCTCTTAAACACAGTCCAGAAATACGTGGCAGAAGTCAACCACATGACATGCTCTATCGGCTCTCTTTCCTGGCGCTGGTGGTCACTGACGTCACTCACTAATCACACTCACGGGTGACATATGCTATAATGGGTCCTATTTAAACTTATTGAACGTTTTAGATGGCCGTTAGCTGTTTTGGTTGCCCAACAAAATTCATCATTATTGTGTGTTATTCCTCCATGATGGCATGAGTTGCAGCGTCGTAAATAATGGCACCCGGTCAGAGGTGTTCTTTACCCAGCCGGGCTATAAAGAAGGGTGTGTGCTCAGGTTAACATAGCAGACATGATCAACGTCGATACCTGGCGACACCACTGAGACTGTAAAAATACACCACACGCAACATGAATAATACATATGGCCAACAAGTGAGTTTGGGTACATGCCGGTGCAATATTCGACTTACTGTAATACTTGCACAACACATGAATCTTTACACATGCTGATAAAACGCATGCCGTTACAACACATAGCTACACACACATGCTATTGCAACACAAGACTACGCTCATGTTAGTACAACACATGACTACATACACTGGCACGAGTAAGGAAGGCAGCCAAGAAAATGGAAAAGAGAGTTGGTGCCAGTACACAACCTTGTTTTACCCCCATTTGGATGGGGAAGAACTCAGACTGGGTGCCATTGTGTATGACACTGCCGTTCAGGCCATCGTAGAGTTGCCTCGCAATAGCAATGAATTTGGGTGGACAGCCAAACCGACTGAGGGTCCGACAGAGGGCCTCCCTGTTGACCGAGTCGAAGTAATGTCAATGAAAGCCATGTCCAAGTCACGACGCTGTTCTCTGCACTTTTCCGGTATTTGACGGGCAGCAAAGATCATGTCGGTGGTGCCACGTGATGGTCTAAAGCCACATTAAGATTCTGGGAGGAAGTTTTCCGCCTCAGGAAGAAGTCTGTTAAGGAGAGGGGCCACGGCATAAGTAGTTGAGCCATATATTGTTTTCGCGGAATTGAAAAATTCACGCATCTTACGTTGATCCGCAAATGTTGACATTTCACATGCTATATTTGTCTACCATTCTTCTCATGGAAGGTATCACCTTTGGTCCAAGACTTAGGGTTGTTCTGCCAGTCAGTGAGAGCAGCACGTTTACTATTGACGAGTACTTCAATTTCTAGATCGTTTTCACCAAACCAATCCTGGTGTTTTTATTTGATCTGGCCGAGGGTCTTATTGCTGGATTTTGTGATGACAGCTTTGATGGGGCCCAATTCGACACTGGGATTTTTGTTGTTTGTTGGTGGGTTGTTTATCAACCTCTCATGGAGCTGCTCTCTGAAAGCATGTGCTACCACTGGATCCTCCAGTCGCTTGGTGTACTCTTCTGGAGGCTTGTTGCCTTCGCCGTTTTGGCGCACTTGAAGGGAGAGTTTGACTCTTACGAGTCTATGATATATGTTACAGTGGTTTGAGCCACGCATGGCTCGGGTGATGAGAACATCTCGGCGATATCTTTCACTGACGATGATGTAGTGAATGAGATGCCAATGTCGGGACCCTGGGTGCTGCCAAGAACCTTTGAACTTGTCGGCCTGCCAAAACAAGGTATTCCTAATAGTGAGATTGTATTCAGCACACTTGCTGAAGAGGAGTAGGCCAT